GAGTCTCTCCCACAGAACACTGCAGAAAACTAATCCACCCTAACTTGGAAACCCCTTTAGGAAAAGGAACAAGTTCCAAGGCAGTGAGTTACGCTACTTGAGCTCACAATTGCACAGATTACTCATCCTGACACTCGTGAGTACAAAATGGGCACATACATTTGTGCAAGGGAGATGGAATAAGGCATGGGAAAGATATAAATAGGATATGATCTGCTTTTAGCATACATCCTGCCAGTAACTGCTTTATTGGTTCTACTCCTCTCAGTAATTTTCAACACCAGTAGGTCGAATTCCAGAGCAGTGTTTCAATTATATTCTGGTGAATGATATGATAAATCTGGGAGCCTCCTCTGGAAGAAAGTTAAAAATCATATCAACTATGAGCTTTTTCTAAATGTATTTAGATACATATCTGGATTTGATGCTATCTGTGTTCATGTCAATGGTAGATTGATTTTATTGCAGAATGTGTTACTCTGAAACAACATTATTTCACATCCACTGAGTGGTACCAGAGTGGTCTTTGCTTTGCTGCAGTTAAACGGTGGTGATGGTGCAGTGATGGACATGAACACAGCAACAGAACAAAGGAACATGTAATTCATCCAGAGTGTAATGAATGCCTGAGAATTTGACAGTAACAATTGGAGAGTCACCAGGGAAGCCTGGCACGGTGAAGTGCGGTGAATCAGGATGATCAAATGATTTTATTAGTTTGCTTTTATTAGTCAGATCTATTTTCATTTCTTTAATATGACCAGGGAAAAAAGAAGTAATTGTAATCAGTTTATCAAATACAACCCTGGCAGAGAGTATGCCACTGGTAACTGGATTTTGTTCTAACTGAACACACTATGTTTTGACTAATCTTCAGCATCCAGGATCATTTCTCTTAAAATGTCAGGAAGATGAGTCAGAGTAATAGTTTATTTGTTTTGTTTTGGTGTTATATTTAAAGTAAGCTCCAAATATGCTTCAGAGCTGGCCTCATTGTTTCCAGCAGACATGGGACAGATAAAGCTCAGAAAACTGAAAAATATCTCAATTTATCTTCAGACCACCAGCTGAGAGTCTATCATGGGCAGTCACAATCTAAGCTTTGCCAGTGCCCCTGCCCTATCCCCCTGCCACGTGAACTTCACCTAAAATAATCACATACTCAGTGGGAGAGTGGGGATGCTCTAACTTGGAGAGCTAATGCCCAAAGCTCCCCCAAGCAGTGATGAGCAATTATCATAAACTATTCCAAATTACAGACTGAAGGCACGGTGATGGAGACTTTTGTAGACTGGACTGAGACAATTACCAAATGAAGGAAAATATTATTATTTTAGGAAATGTAACATTTTAATACATTGTGAAAAATGATGAGGGAATAATAAATGGAGGGCATAAAAAGAGCTAATAATAAAAAGGAGCTTGGTGAGAAATCCCGCTGTCATATTTGCATTTACCCTGAAACTAATGCCGTGCACATTTTTGAATGCAAATAATTCACATGAGGAAGCAAAATGAGGATGTTAATAATCATTTTTCCCTTAATGAGAAGCTGTACTTTGATTGAAAGGAGCTTTAAGGTGGCCTAAACTAGGCCTAACAAAGAAGCTTTTGTGAGAGGTTTTTTTTTTGAGACTTTAAAGGAATGAGTTAGAATAATATTCTGTCACTTAAAATCCCCAGCATTAACATTGTTATCACAAATCTTATTCCAAATTAAAAAAGACGTGTTAGGAAAATTATTCATTCCATATGGGATTTTCTTTTTCACTGTGGCTATTAACTTAAAATGCTTTTTCTTTTGGGATCAGCTTAAGTTTTTAGGTTCCTTTTCTTTTTTTTTTTTCCTTTTCTTTTTATTCCCATTCACAAAATAGATTGTTGTATTGGCTCCTTATCTCAGGACTTCCACACCAAGGTTCTGGGTTGCCTTCCTCATTCTTTTACCTGGTGAAAGCTTCTTAGTCCCAGCTGGCTTAAATGGAAACTGGCCTCCTGAAAGTGGCCTTCTGAATTGATTGGATTCTTCATCTTGTTAGTGCTGCAGAGAAACAGTCATGGATTTCGTATGAAAGATTTCATGAATTGAAACTAGGTTCATTCAGGTTTGAAAACACCATTCCCAAACATCAGGAATATGGAAATGTTGGACTAGACTGAAGACACTTCACCACTGTTGGCCCTCACCTTTTATCCATTTGTGGCAAACCCCAAGTATATAATTCTATTAAGTTAAACACCCCTTCTGTTAAAAGGAGGTGAGCCAGACCGAATCATCCCTGCATGGCCTGAATCTTGTCCCTCTCCCTGACAGAGGAGGATGGGATCATTCTCCATGAGCCATCACCAGGGCACTGAGGAGCCAATCAACCCTCCTTCCCTGTCTCCCCATGGATGCTGGGACACAGTGTTCGTGTTTTCCACCAGGAATTCCTGCAAGCAGCATTTGACTTGTTTTTGTGTGTTTGTTTTCAGCAGGTATTTTGCAAACAGCCTGTGGGCTGTGTGTGCTCTGCTCTGCGTGTGGTGTGTGACTGATGGCTGCTGTGCCGTGTGCCGCACTCGCTCTGTGACTGCACCTGTTCCAGCAGAGGAATGCAAGATGAATATGACGAAGCAAATAATAGATAGGAGCAGTAGAAGAGTCCTGGTCTTCAAACTGCCCCACATGGGCTGCCTGCCCCAGGAGTCCTTCCTCATTCTTAGCTCACATGGTGTAGGGACCCGTAAGTCCCTCTGCACTACATCTGTGCAGGCAGCCACTCTATTCCAGCCACCATTCTGTGTCAGGGAGACATGCACATTTTCAAGTATAAAAATCCTCTCCCAGTTCATATGAACGTTTAGATGGACTCCAAGATGACAAGTAGAATGTGACTCCCAAAATCAAAGTTGCCACTAAGTTCCCTGCAGTGGCCGTGGAGCTGCAGTGTGCATTCGCAGGGTGGAATTAATATTGCCTGTCATTAGGATGCACCATTTTTCTTATATTGCCCTTAATTGCTTTGATTTGATGCTTCTCATCACTCATGAGCTGGCAGTGGCACGGCAGGATGGATGTGTTTGTGAGTGACGCAGGGATTGTTGTTAGCGTTTGACGGAATCAGTGTGTGAACTGAGCTGGGGAATGGCCTTGGCCCCTGCAAGGCCGAAACTAAGCAGGGACAAAGTTCAGGAAGTGAGATTAATTTTGTTCTGCATGCCAACCTTACACACTTCAGTAATTTGCTGTTACATGTTTATAGGTTTTTAAGACATTATGATACCTTCCACATTGGCTTGGTTAATTCTCCTGAACGATCCATGACAACAGATTGATGGTAATAATGACTACAGATTCTAACATGTTTTTTGATTAAAGAAGCATTTCTTTGATTCTTTCCCCTGAGGTTTTTTTCAGGCTCCTTATTAATGTTGCAGCACGATTGTGACTTCAGGTTGATCAGCCAACAGTTGTCATCTCTGATGGTGCCACGCTGCCATTTTTCTCCTGTTGTGTGGCATTAACTCCACAAATATTCAAATTCAAATACACTCGGTTGGATTACTCAATTAAATCTCAGCCAACTTTGAGGATGGCTGATGATCAGTCTCGGGAACAGCTTCCCAATCATCTGAGCAGGCCCTTATTTAGGGCCTGATCCTGTGACAGCCAGTCTGTCCCGATCTCCGTTTGTGAGGCTTGTCCATGAGGTGGTTTGTGTGCACAAACAGGGGTGTAAATCACTGCTTCACTGAGGCCCTACACGGTGGAACTAATGAAATGAAATTATCTGTCCTCTTTTAGGGTCGTTGATATTTGTTTCTCTTAACAAGTATGTGTGATTTTTATGGGCTAGTTTCTGATTATGTGTTAGACTTGGAAAAATATTATTTCATGTGGCTCTGAAACTGTGCTCCCTAACTCTTTTCAGTCATATTTTCTTAATGGTGGTATAAGATTTCTTCTATTTGTGGAATGGCTTCCCTGGCATTTGACAGCTTTTACTTCAAGTTTAACAGGTTACAGGTTTAATAGTTTAATTAAACTTTCTAATGTGTGCTCACAATGCTGCATATATTGACTGAGTTTTTCATGCAAAAATATATAGAAAAATAAATCACTGTGCACAAGAAAGAGTAGTCTTTAAGTAGATACATAGATAAATAAACTATTCTGCCTGAAAAGAAAACCAAATGCAATTCCTCAATTTCATTTTGAGGAAAAAAAATGCATGTAGACACTATTTGCCTTTTCTGAACAAAATTATTTGTAGCACACACACTCAAATGATGAGACAATTATAGAATTTTATATATATATTTATATTTTTTCTTATGCATATATGCTGTGTTATTGTAATTGAAATATTGGTGTTATAAAATGTACCACAGAACTCTATATTGGCTGGTATTATATAAAGTTTTTAAAAAGTGGCTACAACAAGCCTTGGATTCCTACTGTAAAAAAACCTGTGAAATTAATTTGAACCTCAAAAATTGCAATCAAAAGAGTTGTGTATGTGTTGAGTATTTTGTTATCAGCCATGATTCACTGTCCTGTGGCATTGGAGTTTCTCTCACTCTGATTTATTGGCCTGGCTGTTCCTGTGCACAGGGACACCCCTGCCCTGCTTTCCCAAACTTGTGTCAGGGAGCATTTAGGTGGAAATATGTCTAGGAATTTATCACACGCGGTACTTGTGTTTGGATTCCACTTTATGTCCTTTTCCACAACTTTTGACCTTTTATCTAGGCTATTTTTCTCTCTCACCCCCTGAGCTTTGTCCCCATAAGACTTGTGAAGTTTTATACTTTCAGATCTCCAACAAAGAATAACAGGGGAGACAGAAACAATTGGATGAAATGTCACGGATATAATCCAGTCCCACAGAACTCTGATTTATGTTTACTTACTCTTTAGTTTTCAAGTATATAAGACTTTTTACACCTCTTGCTTTACCTTCAGCAAGTGCTGAATAGATCCATGACATATTTGCTAATTGCAAATGTTGTTGCAGGCTATGCCACCTGAAAACTGATAGAAGCTTTATATTCTGAGCCGAAAGCAAATGAGTGCAACGACCGTGGGCCCATCTGGGGCTGCTCCAAACTGGTATTTACAGTTCATAGTTTATTATTCACTCTCTGTGCTCCTCTGACACTGGCTGAAGAGCAGCTATCCTGTGTTTTCTAGGCATACCATGTATTGATTTATGAAATTGTAGAACATGGTAGTATTTTTCCCTGAAAATGAGGATTTGCAAGTACTGAGGGCAATGGAGACGTTGATGAATCCTTCTTTAAGCCACGTTGTCTGCCTTTATATGTATATATATATGTATGTATATACAGAACAAACAACAATCTGTTTTCTATTCATATAATGTATTGCTATATTTTAACTAATGTTAGACCTAAAATTCTTTCAGGCTAAAAATACCAAGAATATATTTTAAAAAAATAGACTTAATCAGCAAGCATTCCTGGGGCAGTCTCCTAGCTCACAACTATTGTTTTTATGACTGTGAAAGCCAACAAAAACTGTCCTGACATCCCTAAGATTAAAGTTTTTGTCAAGACAGGAATACTTTCAATGTATTAAAAAGAGTAATATATTTAGTTATGTTATGCTACATAAAGCTATAATGTTTTAGCCTATACTCTACAGTGCATTTTCAGTCTTGGGGTTGGATTTCCCCCTTAGACAACCTTTTATCATCTTATATTAGGATTTTTGTTTTCCCCCTGACAGCTGTCATTAGCGGAGAAGTCAATGGGCTCATCAACAAGACAACAAGAGAAGAGACCACAGAGCTACAATTTTACTGGAGACCAGGAAAAGGAATTCCAGGCATCAGCTGCATTAGGGATGTTTCTCTTCCAGCACTGGAGGCTGAATTTAGAGATGTACTGAAGTAGCTCCTGGGCCTTGTTTTGTCCCTGTGAGACACCAGGCTGAGCACTTGGCCTGGATCCCTGTTGGGAGGGGTGGGAATCCCACCTTTCCTGCTTCTTCTGGAGCTGTGGGATAACGGGCGAGGCAGAGTCGCTGATCCGGGGTGGGAGCTGTGGGGATTTATTCCCTTGTTGTTCTTTGCACAGCAGGCACTGGGGCAAATGTTTATCAGGAAAGAAAAACCAGAGGGTTGAACAGAACTAAAGAGGAATTGCAGCATGTTTCAACAGTTTTCTCCCAGGCATTGTACCAGCTTTTGCTTTGCACACCTCTACCAAAATTAAACAGTGTTTTGAATTTAGCAACCTTTTGTATCCCTTATTTAATCCTGACTGGAGAATTATTAATAACATTAAATATTAGTCTTACTGTGTTAGCTAACTAGTAGATGGAAAAGACGTCTGAGATGTTGCATTATTACCCTGACTGGAATAATTTCATATAGTTAAAAAGTACTAAACACGTATTAATATTAGAATCCTGCTAGTGGAGCTACCCAATGAAGAATAAGAATATTCAATATAATACCAATTAAAATGAGATGCAAAAAGAATCTAATACTAATTGGTTTTATCTCTAAATTACTAAATAGTTATAGTCTAGAGAAACAAGAATCCTATTATTCCTAATTTATTCTGTAACAGATAACTGCAGTGGTTTAGAGATAGACAGAGGAATTCAGTTTTAGGATTGGGAAATCCTTACTGGCATTTTGGATTAGCTGAGAGTTAGTAAATGCAGAAATGCAAGTGACTTGACCTAACAGAATTGAAGGTGTTTAATTTAAATAATGGGATGAATATCAGTGGATTTTGCTTGTTAGACCTCTCTATAAAGAGTGCTTGGAACAGACATATTAATGAAGACTGTAGATGTCAAATTAGAAATAAATTAAATTCCTTTGTTCATTAAAATTTATATTCTTTCCAGACTGCACAATAGACAGTATAATAAGCATTTGGAGTAATTTGTTACTACTTTGAGTAGTATCATTCTCAAAATCCCATTTGTTGATTACAGAAATTGTTTAATCTAATCTCTTAGGAGATCTTTTGACAACAGTATCTCACCAGTGATGCTACCACTGAGCTGCAGGAACGGGGGTTGTTTGGGTTGTTTTTCATGGCTCTGTCATGCAGCTTCCTTTTATCTTTAGCAATTCTAGATTTCCTTGTTCTCTTTTTCTTTCCTGCCACCAGGAAGGGCCCTTTTCAGTGATTAAGAAAGGCATTCCTCCATGGAGGTAGCTCCATGGTGTCTTTGTTACACCTCATGTGATGAACACACAGTCTGCTGCATGTGTGCAGTGGTGCTGAGTTCTTCAGGCTCACGATGTTTGTTCTTTATTGACATATTTCTCTTAATCTTATCATTTAATTAAGTTTATGAGGTAGAGCTTTCAATCAGCAGCAGTATGTCTGTTTGAAATGGATCTAAGCCACACCTGATGTCTTTGCTCAAGTCTCTATATGCAAATGAACAGCAATCACCAAGTTCTCTCCTAAATTTTTCTAAAGGTGATTCTTAAATTGCTGAGTTTGTATAGGAAACTGGAAAAAAGAATTCCTTAGTTAATTATATAATAATATAAACAGTTTATGTCCAAAGATATTTGTGTACCAGTAAACAGGTTTTTTTTAATGGTAATTAGATTCTCTGCTCATGGAAAGTATATTAGAATATTTTTATAATAAAACAAGATGTCAGAGAAGATTGGAGGCAGTTTTCAAGAGGCAGCTGATCCACTGGCATTATGTCCAGCAGGATAACTCAGTGTGGGCTGGGAGCTCTCACTGCTCTAATTACAAGAGTTACAGAATATTGAGAGTTGGGTGGGACCCAGCAGGGTCATTAAGCCCAGCTCTTAGGGAGGTGGCCCTTAGAGGGATGGAACCCACAACCCTGGCATTGTCAGCCCACCTGAAACCACAACCCCCCGTCCTTCCCTGGCCACTGAACATATGTGGCAGTCAGTCTGCTCTCCCAGGGACATGGTGAGGAGCTCCATAAAGTCCAGGATAAATAACTGTCCTTTTCTATGGATTTGTCTTTTCTACTTGTTTGACGCTCATATTTACAAACTATCAGATTGAGGTGAGGTGCTGCTCAGTGATGAGCCACCAGATGCTTTCTTCCATCTCGTGTCACTTGTGGCCATGCTGTAACCTTTGTAGATGGTCCTTTACTGCTTGGCCTGGCTATTTTTGTAAAATTTGAGTGCAGTTAATGATCTTGAACAACTCCATCTTCCAGTCCAATTTGTTTAAGAAATTTAAAACATTTTGGTGGACCCGTACAGAAGCAGACAAAAAGTTTATTTGTATAAGAAATATAGATATTTCGACTGGAAGAAAGCTTCTTGCCTGAATAAGTGGTATTCCATCCTCATTTTTCCCTTTTTCCTTACTGGAAGGAGCTCTTTTGTCTTTCTGGGGAGGGAAAAAATTATTTAGAAAAGCCTTCTCTTTAACTGTGCACTAATTGTGATGTATTGCTCTGTATCTTTGACAGTTCTGGGTTTCTCCAGAGCACAGAAAAAATGGAGGAACACAGTTTACAAACATGTATTTTCAGCCTTACCATGGGGGGGCTGCACATTCCAGCTGGCAGCACATTAGCTTCTCATTTGAAAACCATGAGCTTTGTTCCAGCTCAGTTCTTAATTAACTGCATATCCTGACATCAGTTATCTCAGATTTCCTTCATATAATCTAATCCAACGAAAAGACATTTCTTTAAATTTGGGTCTAGATCCCCTACAGTTCTCCTTCTGAACTCTACCTGAGTTTAAAGTAGTTTGGGGGGGTTTGTTTGTTTGTTTTTGTGTAGTGAGATATATATAGTAGGATTATAATTTTTGGGTCTTCACATGAAGAATCTTCCAAGTGCTAAGGGTGTATAACAACTAATTAAGGGACTGGAAAGGGGCCATTTTTTTTTTTAATCGGAATTCCAGCTGATCTTGGATTTGGCACAACAGATATGTTGGATGTCTGGGATCTGGATGTGTCCTCACTGAAGGAGCCCAGGTTTGGCCTGGGGGGGTCCCCTGACAGGATTTCAGCAGGAGCCTTGGCTGGGTCCTCCTGTACCTGGCTCGCCTGAAATCCTTTCATTAGTCTTTCACACGTGTCAGCAATTAATTCACAGCTCTACTAAACCCTGTCGATGTTTTAGAGAAATGTATATTTGTGCCTGATATTTTTGAAAAGAGTTCCAAGTGAAAACATTTAGAAAATATTATCCCAAAAGTGTGCCAAGACAAAGCAACCTTGCATTTTCTGCTTTGTGAGGAGCTGACTGTGTGAATTGGAACTTGCCACGGTGCTCCAGTTTGTACAGCTCACATCTGAGATAATTTCCCAGTTTAAAATTAATCTGAAACTATTTTTTTGACTTCTTGAGAATTTTATAGTGTGGTCATTTTTTGCTTAAATTACTCAAAATGTGAATTTTTTTCTTTAAAAATTTAATCTTTTGGAATTAATCTTGGAAGTTTCAAAAAAATGTTTTAAACAGCTATCAAATTCAAAATATTCAAGATCAAAGCAATTCTTATTTTGCACACATTGGGGGTTGTTATGAAGTTCTTCATTTCCATTAAATGATCCTATATTTTCTTCAGTCAATGCTATTTAACTATTCCAGTAATTAATTAAACCAAAGAACGGTTCCTACTGTGAGTCTTGCCTACCTGCTTTTAAGTCCATGTATCAGAGGTGAGGATACGCTTGTAAAGTCTGGCATTTAATTAAGTTGTTTTGATCTTTTGTTCTCCTTTTTGCACATATTAATTATTATACCTATGAAGTCTGATTCCATTGTTTGAGGTATGTTGATGTTTTCATAATATAACAAGGCTTTGTTTCTTGTGTGCTGGAGTTATTGTGTAACTGTGATCACAAGATCCCCAGAGCTCTGTAACACACAAGAAAAATATACTCATGACCTGAGTTTACAATCCTGATTATTTTCCATGTAGGGTGGATGTCAATAATTTGAATATGTGGATTGATTTCCTTTTTAATGAGTACATTTGTTATAATGGGAGTAAGTTCAAAGCTTAGAGAAGGGAAACACTTTTGAAAGCAAGAAAGGGCTGAGCCCTGCTTTTTACTGTGTGGGATTTTTAACAATGAGTTTGCCCAGTTCCTTTCAGCAGGATTCACTCATAAATTAATACAGTCATTTGAAAGAAATGTCCATATTTTTCTATAAATAAATCTGCATCTGAAAACTCTCTCCTACAAAGAAAGTTCACACACACTGAGTGCAATTGTAATTTGAACCTTCTGGTAATCTTGGTTTTGTTTTTTTCTTTCCTACTTCCCTAGACCAGACTGGATCCCTCCCTGCCAGCTGTCAGTGAACCTGTTTGGAATGAATGACAGCAAACAGGGCAAAGACCTGCTGACAGATGTCTCTAAAAGGGACTATGGAAAGGAAGTTTCTTAGGAAATAGGAAATTTTAATCCAAATTGCTAGAAACAAAAGACTGCTGCATTAAGCAGCATAATCAGTGATTACACTGACTTTAGCAATGAATTACCACTTCATTGAACTGTTCAAAACCATTGGATGTTTTGCTGAATCCTTTCTAAGATGGAGCATTCTCTGAGGTGACTTTTGTTGGCCTTTAGCTGTCTGCACCAGGGACTAGGACAGTACAGAGACAGGTCAGAATTTATCCTGGGGGAGATATGTGAATATGGAGTGAGGAAATGGCTTGAGAATGTTGTACTTTGATCCATAGCAACTCTTCAGTACCTTGCAGGTTCCCAGTTATGTCCCTGTTTCCTCACCTGTATGTGCCCAGTTCAGACCTTATTTCCCAAAGGGGAAGGGAAGGACACAGGAAGGTAGAAAACGGCTCTGAAATGCCTGTAACCCCCAAGTCCAAAGTCTGAATCTCCATCTGTCCTTCATGGATATTGTTCTGTTTCTTTCACAAGGTCTTGCCTAAATAACCAGAGGATCTGCTCTTGCCTTCATCCACTGTAGCAGTTGGGTGCTCATGGCACTTGGTGTGAAACTACATCCTTTTGCTTTAGGTGTGTTCCTGACTGATGCACTGGGAATAAAAGTCATCAGAGAATACATGAGATTATATATAATACTATATAGTATCATATGATATATGAGGTACTATATATAGATATATAAAAATATATAAACATATAAAAAATATAAATATATATAATATATAAACATATATAAAAATATATAAATATATAAATATATATAAATATATAAAACTATTATTATTTTAGATAAAACAGTTGGTTTAATTCTTTCTGATCC